AGAAGGAATGAAGGGAAGGATGCAGGGAGATGGTTGGAGGTTGAGTGGGAGATAAAACAAAGACCAGAGCAGCAGAGGAGGAATAAATTCAATTTATGGTGTTCACCTTGGGGCATCAGGCATACTTCTCTCTGCAGGAGACTAAAGGCAGCACGGCAACTGTGTGTCTCTGCAGACTCCCTTTATAGTCCTATTGTGCATGCGTGTAAATACACTGTTTGTGTGTAAACATACTCTAATTCTAGATGCTCAATCCTCTAAAAGCACTATTTTAAATTCTGTTCAGCAAATAGAAGAGCGTGTTCCAGTAATTCTAAATAGATTTTGGCGCTTTACCCATAACAATTTCAGTGAATCACTATTTTACACCTGATTTGTCACAGCCTGAGGCAGGCTCCCCCACATAGAGAAAACTACTCAAATGTTATGTTTTATTTCCCTACTTAAGCAGACTGAAGTAACCTGCCTCAATCTGCTGCTTTTTTTTGGGACTTTTGACCGTTTGCATCTGGGGAAAAATCTGTCAAATGCAGCATGGACTTTCAATTGTGCAGTTTGAGTGATTTCCTTAACAATTCATTTTAAAACTTTAAACCTGCATATAAACTGCAATGTATATATGTGTATATCTGTTTGAAATGTTGCAAACTGTGTACGATTCTTGTCAAGATCAGTAAGGACAGATATGTTTGTCAGCAATTGAGCTCAAACAGCGAGGAAGGTTATTGAATGCCTGCATGGGAAAGGACCATAAAGTAAGACCGAACACACTCGATATATAAATTGTAGTGTAAAAGATTGATGGATGTAAGTTAGAATCGAGGGAGACAGAGATGGAGGAAATATAATTTGTCCGGGATATCATGCAGTTTTGTTGGCTCGACTAAGTTGTTGTTGGACAGCTGTCTTTCTCCTCTTTGCTTTCCCTCCTTTTCTCTGTGCCATAAAAACATTTCTTCCTCTGTCCTCTCGTTTTATTATCCTCCTTCTTCCCCCCGCAACCAAAAAATAATGATTTATAACTCTTTTCCTTGACCTCTTTGACCTCTTTTCTCCTTGTTTTGTTCATTCATTTTCTCTATTCCTGCTCATCTCCTCTCCTCTGACCTTCTCTGTAGAGATGCCCCCATCCACTTTAGTTCCAATCCAAATATGATGCATATGTACCGATAACCATACTGATTCAGATATTTTAAAATCATAATTCATAGTTTTATTGTTGTTATTATGAGTAAGGCTACACAAAGCTGTACTAAACCCGGCATTGCATTACATTGTGTTGGCTTCACATACAAACAGGAAGCAGCAACAACTGTCAGGTTTTCAATTTAAATCTGTTAATCTGAAGAGTAAGAATGATGTTCCTTGATCCGTGTAAAGATCAAAGTGTGGCCACTATTTTGATGTAGGCTATCACAGTAAAAAAAAACATTTAAAATAATGAATTACATCAGAAAATACAGAGGCACACTCGGAATAGCGGTGGCTAATTTGAAGCAATCCGTGGATCTTTACATGTATGGGTTTGGATTAAATTTATAATGATCGGCAGAGTACAGTAAGTCTTCAAATGGTAAGTCAAATACAGAAAAAATCTTTGTGTCTTTGTTGTTGGTCTGACAGATGAATAGATTGTGGCTGTTGAGGTTATTGAAGCCTGCGGCTTTAAATGTATTAAATATTATTGTTGTTCATACATGCGGTACATGAATGAGAGAGAAATGAATGTATGAGCTAAGAGAAGACTTCAAGACTCTGAGAAAGCAGCAGAGAGACGGAGAGGTCTGTGTTGAATGTCAGGAAAACAAGAAAAACATCAGAGAGTTAAATTATCTTGAATTCCTCCAGATTGGGATTTCAGACTTGAAGCCCTGCTGCTACACACACACACACACACACACACACTGTCAGCACATTCCTCACACTGCCAGCCAAACACACACCCAAACACACACACACACACACACACACACACACACACACACACACACACACACACACACACACACACACACACACACACACACACACACACACACACACACACACACACACACACACACACACACACACACACACACACAGAGTCACCGAACGTCCTACTCTAAACTGTACAAACACATGACAACACACATGCCCGCATGAGGCTGGGAAGAAAAGGAGCATGTGCATATTTAATGTATATCGCAAAGAAAATATGTCCCTGTGTGTTTTACGAGTGTGTGTGTCTGTGTGTGAAGGTCGCGGCAGATGATTTATCAGTGGGAAAGACGCATATTGGAGCCCTGCAGGGCAGATGTGTGTGTAGTTATGTTTGTGTATTATCTGTCTCTGGATAGGTGTGTTTGTGTGTGGTTTTAAATGAATATTACACATGAGAATGTTGTGTCCCTCTTTCTCTACAAGATGAACACTAGTTTTTTTTTTTTTTTTTACTGTAATTGGAAACACACAGACACACACATGCAATGCATGAATAATGCACATCAGGGAGTGTAGGTAAGCATAGTGTTGGAGTAAAAGAAGACATATACAGAACAGGCAGCTGGTGAAAACTCTGGCATAAAGATAGATAGGCACTAACACACATACATTACAGTGTGTGTGTGTGTGTGTGTGTGTGTGTGTGTGTGTGTGTGTGTGTGTGTGTGTGTGTGTGTAGCATGAGTGCGTTTTGAAAGTATGTGCATGAAAAAATGAGAGGAGGAAACAGAAGAAGGCGAGAAAGCGAGACAGACTGTCATACTGCAGCTGTATTTGGTATATTTCTGCATGGGAGTGAGTGTGTGCGCATGTGTTCCTGTGTGTGTTAATTTATTCCATGTCTGTCGGAGAAACCTCTGCAACATTCAGTGTCATATATCATGTCTTACAGTAACATTAAACCTCACACTGATGTAAAACTGGGCAACAAATCAGACATCAAACCCCGTAGAGTTACGGCATCCTGCGCGCACAGAGACAGTTTCATGTGCATTACACTAAGATATATGGACACACAGGACGCAGCCACCTTAAACAGCTCATGTTTTACACGTGGGAGAAAGCCAGAATCAAATGACGTATTTGCTGACCAAACCCTAATGTCTCGTGAAAAATATTAGCGGTAACGTAATGTGTATAACTCACAGAGAGACAACTAGCAGCTACCTGAAACATCTCAACTTTCCACAGAGAGGGGAAAAGATGAAGAAATACATAATATACCAAATGTGTGGGAAGAGTCCATTACTGCAGACAGAACAAATATCATGCCTTATGCAGAGGGGAGGGCATGATAGTAAAGGGGTCAAAGAACCTCAAATGAATGAGTTATGCAGGCTATACCTGGAGGCCTTTTAAGAAGGTGTTTCCAGTGTTTGATTTAGTGGGACAGCTACTTTTGAGCCTCTAACATCAGTATACAGGCAGTAGTCAAACACTAGAAAAATAATCAAATACAGAAAGCAGACATTATATATCTGCCACATTTAGACTGTAACATCTGTAAATATTCGCTGTTATTGTGCATTTGCTCGATCTCTGTCAGTGTGTGTGTGTGTGTGTGTGTGTGTGTGTGTACAATGCATGTGTGTGTCTATCACGAGGAGCGTTGCACTTCAATAAATCCATCGTGTGCTGGCACAAGTGCACGTTCACACATCGAATTCACATGTGAAAACATGGCCACGCATTCTGAAGCGCTGATGCTTGTAATAATCGTACGGGTTGTTACTACGGCGATAAAACGGCCAATAACTCGCTCACCTGGCCTGTGAATGGACACACGGCTGTACACATACACTCTCTCTCTCTCTCTCTTTCCTTCTTAAAAGCGGAGGAACTCAAAGTTAGGAGAATATTTGGAAGCAGAGAGCAGGAAAGATAAATCACACAGTGCATGCCCTCATTTTCCCATGATGCCTCAGTAAAAGATAGTCCCCCAGCGTGTTTAAACTCGCAGGACACGCTAATACGGACATTATCCTTGGCTTCTATTTCAGCCCAAAGCGTCGTTCCACTAAATTAGAGCTGGTTGTAAGGTCTCAGTGAGGATGTAAAACAGCAGAAAATACACAGAATCGTCCTCTGCTGGACTCCTCTCAGCTGCACTTAAAGTGCAAACCCATCTATTAAAACAACATTAGAATTTACACTGAGCTGAGGCTAGTGCATGAGTGTGTGCGGCTGTCTGTGTATGTCATCAATCATAGGAAGAGCTGGACAGCGGTACATGGTTATTGCATTAACACACCACTTACTTCTATGGCTTTAAAGTGCAGAGAGAACGAGAGGGCAGATAAAAGAAGAAAGGGAAGAGAGAGGTAAAGACAGGAAGTTAAGAAGAAAGAGAGGGTTGATGAGGTGTCGGGTGAAGTTCACGTCAGTGTGACCTGTGGCCACCTTCCTGGAACACTGAGGCAACATGGGAACAACTGGAGATATCATAAAGGGTGTGCTAATTTCAGGGGAAGTGTTGAAGGTCGTGTCTGCGTTTTATGAATTGGAGTAACTGACAGCAGGTGGGAAACTTTATCTTGTATGTATTAACTGGTGTGTCAAGAGGCAAGCACAGTAAGTAAAGGTTAAATGAGCAAATGCAGTGGAGATATTTATGTGAATCATATGACTATAATCAAGTGGCAGCAACGTGATGCCTGCACAGAAGCCTAAGCATGAAGTTTGCCCCTTTCTCCCACTACTGCTCTAGCTCTTTGGACTAATAAATAAGCCTTAAGATGCTTTAAATGGAGGCGCAGACTCGTATCCTTTGCTTTCATATCTGCATTATAGTACGTTTTAATACAGAAACAGAAAACCAAATACAATAACAGCATCGGAATGTGCAGTCCGATCTTTAGGAAGACATTTTTCAGTGTGTGTGTCAGCGTTGTGTCTGTAAAACATGACAAATGACACAAGAGTCCCACAGAGTTTGCATCATCCAGTGTTAATGTTCAGCCGTTTTATGTGTGAACATAAATAAGAGTGATAAAATGTGTGTGTGTGTGTTTTCTTACTTCATCTCCAGGACCTCCTCCAGGTGTTTCCGCCTCTCGGCTCGCAGGGCGGTCAGGTGACCTTCCTTCTCGGCCAGTGAGAGCTGAGTCGATGACAGCTTGGCTTTCATCACCTCCAGTTCCTGCTTCACTTTCTCCATGGCGACCAGCAGGTCCTCCACCTGACACACACACACACACACACACAAAGTAAGACATTTAAATCTTATATTTGAGAACTTTTTTAATGTGCTGCTTCTTTTCGCAGATACAACTTCATACTTATGTGTGTGTGTGTGCTGTTGTCTTCCTCATGCTCTCTCTGTGCTCTGACAGTGAATCTGCTTTTGATATTTTATAATTTATAATTCCTCTGTTTTGACATGAAAAGCTTCAAACATGTCATATTTCTTCTAAGTGTTTTCTTTTCTTTCTCCTTCTCCTCTACGATATGATATATATTTGATCTGAGTCTCTCTCCGGGTGTATATCAGTTTGTCAGTTTAATGTCTGTGAGGTACAAGTGTCTGGATCGCCGTATTTCTCACAGCATGACAATGAGCTGGCTTTCCACTACACACATGTGCAAAAACACACATGTTTAGACCGTTTCACAGATGTACTTGCACAAAAACAGCAGCACATATATGTTGTCTTCAGATACTTAAAAAAAAAGAAAAAAAGAACCCCAAACAGAAATAAAAAGAAAAGAGTCAAAAACATTTTTCACCCAAAAACAGATGGCATGAGCAGAAAAGAAGAAGTTAAAACCCCTTGTATGGTATGATATTGTATGGTATGTATGTATGGTATGATATGATATGATATTGTATGGTATGGTATGGTATGATATTGTATGGTATGGTATGGTATGGTATGATATTGTATGGTATGGTATGATATGATATGATATGATGTATGGTATGGTATGGTATGATATGATATGTATGGTATGGTATGGTATGATATTGTATGGTATGGTATGATATGTATGGTATGGTATGTATGGTATGGTATGGTATGGTATGATATTGTATGGTATCTAATGATTGCATAATATTGTATTGTTAGTTCAATTTAGGTCAAATCTACAAAGAGTTTTTTGTTACAGAATGTGACACATATCAGAGGCAGTAAATAAAGATATTTTGTCTATTATCCCATCATGCTATTCACTAATAAGAATGTTCCCTAAAATATGAAAAAGCAGGATGAAAAAAAGATGAATGAATGACAAAATGTGACAGTAAAGTGGTGAGTTATGTTGGTGATGATTGTTTGTTACCTTTGACCACCTAAAGCCGGCTGTGGTGAACTCATGCATTGGAATGTGAGAGAGCTGCGTATGAAAAGAGCAGAGAGAGAGAGAGAGAGAGAGAGAGAGAGAGAGAAACGAAGGGGATGGAGACAGTCAAGGGAAAAAAGGAGAAAAAATGTGACAAGACAAGTGGGGGAAAGAAAATAGACGTAAGGAAAATAAGGGACAAAAATGGACTTAGAAAGGGGAGCGGAGATAGGACAGTACAAATGTAAGAGAGAGAGGTATAATAGAGAACAAATAAAAGGGGGACAATTAAAGGTTTGGAAACAGTGAAGCACAAACAAGGAGGGATAAACACACATGTAAGGGGGAAGCAGAGAAGACAGGAGAGAGGAGAACGAGAAAAGTCGTAAGAATGCTGAAGTGAAACGGTAAACTCTGAAGCACACTAGGAGAGAGTGGAAGCAAAATAAACAAATGCTAAACACATGAAAGTGAGATAAAAGACATAAAGGTGCAGACAGAGAGCCAAACTCTGAGCATTCAGACAAGCAGGCAGTGCTAAAAATGCAATCCAGACAAGAAAATGGAAAGAGGAAACACATGACAATAAAATAAGGACAGAGAAGGCGGACATGGAAGGGAAGCAAGTACGGAGAAAGACCTTTGGCTGACATCAGAGAAGTAGAGATTGAAGGATGGAGGGATGGAGGGATGCAGGGAGGGGTGAGGAGTGACAAGGCCCGGCTGTGCATGAACAGGCTGGATGGGAGGAGGACAGCAACCCCTTCAGTTTTTCTGAATATGTTCGTTTTTTTTATGTGTCTGAACTTTATTTAGAAAAGGATGGAAGCGAGAAAGAAGAAGGCTCGTTAAGTTCAAGAATAAGAATTGTGAGGTTAATAAAAGATGGAAAAGTGGGAGGAGAGGACGTCTGTGGTCAGTTTGGTGGCTGTAGGGACAGATGGAGTGTGTCATGGCTGACTAATTTCCCTGTCTCACACACACTGTTCTCCAATGATCACACATACCAAAGTGACTCATGTCTTGTAGAGGAGGTTAAGAAAAGTTTCATGTAGTTGACTTTGCCGCATGAATCTCCAAACACACTTACACACAGGTTTTCATGTGTATATTGAAGGTGAAGGGTTGTGTGTGTGTGTTTATGAGTGTGTGTGTGTGTGTGTGTACCAAAACATGACTAGGGTTTGTGTGTTAATGTAGCTGGTTTGGCTACATTTGCATATGTGTGTGTACCCAAGCTGTAATAAGCACTGTGTGCCTTTGAACAGGCCGTCCTCATTAGGAGGAGGAAATTGTCTCTCCCTCTGTCATCATTTTATAAATCATTATGTGAAAGGGTAATTGCAGTGACGCAGTTGTAAAACGGGAACACAAAAATATTTATTTACAATTTTCTCGTGTATATAAAGACACATTTCCAGTAAGAAAACCAGAGTCTGGCTCCACATGAATGTAATGTTGTGCTCGGGTGCTGTTGAAATAGCTGTTAGCACTTCTTTCCGCCATGTTTTTGAGTGTGTGTGTGTGTGTGTGTGAGTGTGTTTTAGGGTGAAATATGTGCACTACCATCCTGTCTATAACGACCATGTGCAACATGCGTTTGCGCGTGTGTGTCTGCACTGAAAGGCTGACTTAGTGATGTTGATGTTGGGTGAGGATTGCACTGAGAGTTTGGCTGCAATCTCCACTCGTTCACCGCACGCTGACGTGTTTCTTCTTCCTCTTTCAGACGCGACAACATTCTCCATCACCCAGTCCTGGCCTCAACGCCCTCCACTCTGTCTAATTAAAGGTGCCACATTAAGGAACTTGAAGTAATATATCGCTGCTAAATCGAATGTGATAGCTTGGCGAAATAGCCGTAAACAAATTAAGAGTCAGTCAGTGGAGGAGTTTAAACATCCTGGATTTGGTTCTTTTTAGTTTTTTTCCCCATTTATGTAAATGTGAAAATCTAAAATCCTTAAGCCTGTGTGCTCTGAACTCTAAACTTCAACACATTTAACAATGACAACCAAAAAAATACATCTGTGCCTACAGCATATCAAAGTCAAGACTAGCACCATCAAATCATAAGACTGATTAAATGTTTTAACTGATATTTACAGAACAAAAGACATACTTTGTTGTTAAAGTTTTCTGGATATATGCGACACTGGATTGCTCCCTAAAATGCTCCAAAATACATCACTAATTACATCAAAACAAAAGTCAAAGTTTTCCTTAGCACTGACGATTTAAATGTTTTTTCTATTGAATGGTAACATGTCCATACATGTTGCCTTGGCATCACCAAAAACATTAACCACAGAAGAGCAAGTCAGCAGTAAAAAAAAAGAAGTTTGCACGCCTGTCTTTAGGTGTCTGTCCAGAATCCGCCCGGTAAGTGAAGGTCAGAGAGGACGGTCAGCGTTCAGACGCAGTAATAACAATGGTTTTCAGCTGTTTTGCCAACAGCTACAGCCGCTTCATGTTTTCTCAAGGCAGTTTTTATCCTCACAGCCCACACTGTTTTTTTCCCACTTGTCAAAACCAATCCAGGCTCTGAGGAACATTTCCCATCTCTACGCCTTGGTTGAGTCACTGGTACCCAGAGGAACGACACACACACACACACACACACACACACACACACACACACACACACACACTACACACACACTACACACACACACACTCTGTCTGGTCTGAGGTTAAATCTACTGAACCTTCCCTATGAGCTTTCCTCCTGTCTTCTCAAAGATGAAAAAGATTACAAATTGGAGTGGTCGCCTCCTGCTGCATTTAAGAAGAAGCTGTTTGTGTGTTGCCGGCTTTTTTGTAAATAGAGATGTATTTACCTATCCTCCAAATCAGGAGTGACTGGACAAACACACACACACACACACACACACACACACACACACACACACACCTTAATCTGCTCAGTTGGCACAGGACAGCGTGTTGCCACTGCCGTTAGCCACTATTAACATAGGGATGTTTAGCTATGTCAAAAAGAGTTTCTATGCTGAATTAGAGATCTATGTGAGCTGCCTTGTGCGTCACAAAAACAGAAAAAAAGGAAATCCTCCGCAGTGAGGATGTGTGTGTGTGTGTGTGTGTGTGTGTGTGTGTGTGTGTGTGTGTGTGTGTGTGTGTGTGTGTGTGTGTGTGTGTGAATAACTGATAGGAGTTGGTATTAAGGGGAGGTTTGGGTCACACACGTTTACTGGTTGGGGGTTGAGGATTCTCCTTAGACATGCAGGAACACACTTTTGTGGGTACTCGCTTGTGAGAGAGACAGTACCTGTTTCTCAGACTGCGTTCGTCCCTGCTCCTCATGGGCGAGCACCACCTCCCGCTCCGCCGTGATCTGAACACTTTCCCTCAGCGCCTCCTCCAGCTCCTCGATGCGCTCCTCCTTCTGACGGAGGGAGTCCTACAGAGAGAAAGTGTGCAATGTAAGAAGAGCACAAGCTTTTTGCAACACTGAGAACGTGTGGTTTCAATCAACGTTTAGTAAAAAACAAACTGGAAGTTGCAATTTTAACATTTTTACAGCAGGATTTACCATGCCCCCCCCCCTCATAGCATCGTGTCTTTTCAGTTTTGAAAACAAATTATTTCTAAAGAGTCACAGAAATGTCACTGCATTTGCAAGCACCTAACAAACAAAGAACTGGACAAGTAAAAATTTGACATGATGATGTTGTAAGATGAACGTGAAGCGGTCCCAAGTGTTATTAGTATTCAGGGGAAGATCAATGTCCAAATATTCTGCCAAGTGATCCAAAAGCTCCAACCCATAAAGTCACTAGATTCTAGCACCATGAATCTATGTATGAAATGTTCAACCATAGTTGTGATCAAATGAATGTTTGGACATCCATCTCTGAAGCTGCAGTTTAATCTGTAGCATAGCAGGTTTGGATTATTGTTGATGGCAACTTTCAACATAAACCAACCTAATATAGTTGTTATATAGTTTCTGCATCCCCAGATACTTTTGTTTTGCACAAATCCTTTTTTTCCAATCCTAAATCATCAAACTGTTTCTTTGGGTCGTGTAGATATTCTTTAAGGGATGCTTTAATGTCAAGCGTACACCACCCAAAAATACAACTGTTTAAACCCTTGTGGAGCACAAAACCTTCTTTGAATTAACATCCATCAAGTCTGACACCTCATCGTGTTTTACTTCAGCTCATCAGCTACTCGTTACAGGAACCTTTCCTGTCACATCCTGCTTAACATGTCCACAGAATGAAAACCTTTAATGCTCCACATTCTAGTCACTGGATAAAACTGCACAAGACTCCTGAATTAGATAATCTGATCTGCATCTGCCTTTCAGAACTCTTGGGAATTCCTGTTCACACATGGAGTTGATTCTAGGTTAAATGACAACATGTACCAGTAAAGACTTATGTTTCCTTTTGCCAGGCAGCTGAATTACTGAGTTAAATCTGAGTTAAATGAATAAGTGAAGGAGTCAGGAGGGGGTGGAAGACATAATGACACATTACAGTGGCCGTGAACAAAAAGCTCCAGGACATCTCTAACACATGTGCTGTGAATCTGTGCCCTGCTCCACATCCAACATTACTGCGTGTCTAACTATGCAGACTGAGACTGGTTTTAATTGGATTAAATCTGCTTATTGTATTGAATCGAATTTACGGTTACTTGCATTCCATTTGCAGGCCTCAGCGCTGGTGAAACTACGCAGAATGGCTTACATTTCACACACAATCTAGTTACGGTTGTAACCACTGCGGCCTCATAAGTCTGAATGACTCACACAGCTCATCAGCTCATCTCCTAACCACATGCTTTCACAGAAATGGCAAATTCTAAGCTCCGTATACCAGAGATCAATCATAGCTTGAGGGAGAATACACTTATACTGACACACACACACACACACACAGACATAAAGAGTGTTTTCATCTGCCTCTAATCAGAGAGGCCACTGAGGTTAACGATTACTGGAAGAGGAGAGGGATGAGAAAAATCAGGAAGAAAAAGTCAGGAAATCAGGGTCAAAAAGGGTAAAATTAAAGGTACAGCAGAAGTGTAAGATAACCGCATAAATAAGGAAATGTGAAGTAAACCACAAATTGTTGTTAATCTTGTGGTCATATGATACCCGGCGCACAATTAGGAGATGCTCCCACACCGCGTGGAAGTTTTAAAACCCGCAGCGTTCACTTTTTTTTTCTTTTTTTTTTAGTTTGGAGTTAGAATCCTGTATGTCTCCTCTAATTATCTCTTTTCTCTCCTTCACTTCTTCTACCATTTTTCTCCATCTTCCATCTGTGCTCCTTGTCAATCATCCCCCTCAGTCAACAGAATGAGAGTTTCCTCATGCGTGTGTTTGTGTGTGTGTGTGTGAAAGAGAAAGCGAGCGTGTTTGACATTGCCTCAGGCTGCTCCCTGTCACAGTCGTCACGTCATGATGAAGCATTGTTATGATAGCAGACACAATTCAAGGTAGGACAGGAAGAAGGAGGGAAACTTTTCTTCCCTCCTTCCCGCTAACCGTCATTTTTAGTGTAAGCGTCCTCCCCTTCCTCACCTTTATCTGCTGGGAGCTCTCGTTCAGATTGTCCTCCCTCTTCTTGGCCTCGTCCATCAGCTGGGCGTTCTTGTTCTTCTCGATCTGCTCCTTGTGCTTCATGTTGGCCACCTTCTTCGACTGGTCCTTCATCTGCCTGCAAACATGCAAACACACGAAATACAACGTCAAAGTCTGTGACCAACAAATTGTCTGTAAAGGTTCTTAGAATGTACACATTAAATCTCATAAAGCGGCAAGCGGGCAGGTCTATGGCTGATATATGTCTCCTTTCCCCACTCTCTCTTCCTGATTTCCTACCTTATCCACTGTCCTCTGACAAAAAGGTATAAAATGTTAATGCTTTAACAGCATTAATGACCTTTATCGACCCCACATGTGTTCACATATACACATTCACCCCCCCCCCCCCAAGCACATTCTGGAGATGCTTTCTGTTATTACCATTAACATGACAGTGAAATCTGATTAACAATGCTGCGCAATACAATGCTGTCATGAAATCCTTTTTGGCCGACATAATGTAAAGATCGTTACAGGAATTTAATAAAAAGCAATGAATTAATGACAAGATGACATTTGAGATTTTCTCCGTAGTGGGAGGTGGGGGGGTCTTTTCACGGAGGGATTACCGGGTGTCGGGAAGCGGAGTTTAAATCATCATGTTGGGAATGAAGGAGCGAGAGAGAGAGCGAGAGAAAGAGGGACAAAGAAAGTGAAAGAGAGATTCCTTGAGGGGGGGCAGCAGATTGGAAGAAGGAGAAACGGTTTAATCCCAGTTTAAGCCGTCTGAAGGCCGTTGTGTCTCTGTCACAGACCTATCAGCTATCACAGCAGCTTGACTTGATCAGGACCCTTCAAACCTTTCACACACACACTTACACACACACACACAACACACACACACACAGATGTGGACTAACCCGAGCTAATGCCAGTAAGGTTTAACAGCGTCTACTGAATCATGACACAGATGAAAGATAAGTCAAACACAGAGGATGAATGTGAACATATTCACTTCCAACGCAGACAAAACAACATTTCTGACTAACATGTTAGAAATTACTCATTTAAATTCATACCTTTGGCTCTCCCTGAGTCTGTGAGTCTTCTGTATGTTTTAATTTTTTAACATGTTTACATCACGTCTGCCTGCATTGAGCAAATGTTTATGCAAGTGTAAGCATTCCTGTTAGCTTAAACTTTAACAGGCTCGTACAATAATCCATTTTCTTTCCATCCATTGCTGCCCGTAAAAAGAGATGACCCCAAGTGATGGGAAAACACTGCACATCTGAATGCATGTGCACTCATGGGAAACCATTTTTACAAGCTGCAGAGCTGCATGTTAAGTTTCCTTAGGTATAAACAGGTTTCATCTTTTCCTGACCTTTGACCTTTGTCTGTGCACCTAAACTGTCCGAGCTTATATCTTAAAATACACCGCCCCTAACCCATTTAAATCAATGATGGCAGAGGCTGCCATCAGTATTAACTAATCCATTCATACACATTCACATGTCACCGACCAATCAGGGGGAGCAATTTGGGGTTAAGTGTCTCGCCCGAGGACACATTGGAGCTGTGGATAGAACCCCCAACCTTCCAGTTGAAGACGACCGACTCTACCACTGAGCCACAGCCTTCCTGTCAATCTTTGAATGTCCTGCCTCTGATCATTCTGCTTCTACAGACAAACCATGAGACTCATGTTGGAGGCAGATTTTCTGAGCTAACTTACACATTTCTGGGTCGGGTACAGCCTTTATTTGAATTCCCATAATCTCACCTCATGCTGTTTCACTTATTTTATTTCCACTGCTTTACTCCTTTGAGTGATATCGTCTGTCTGAATTCACACAAGTGTTACGTTTATTTGTTTACATTGACTCATACTCGTACTCCTCTCGAACTATCAAAGCCATAAACTTGCTGCCAGACTCACTTTCAGCTACGGCCTTAAAAAATGTTTTCTACATTCGTATCACCTCCAGAAAGTTGAGAAATGATGTTGGCAGAGAATGGTTAAATAAAATCCTAAACGTGTTTGCTGAAAGGTCCAGGGGGCCCAATTCAAAAGCGTCCAGAGAAATTTGGGAAGCTGGAAGAAAACTTGAAATGCGTAGACGGAGCCAAAACCGCTCTGCAGCACCTGGCTGCTCAAAGCTCACAGAATAATAATCAGCAGATTGAGCTGCATGCTCACATGTGTGGTTTTGAGCTGTATTGTATTTGGGTGAAATAAAGGACTACATATTGCATCATTATCACATCTAAATTAGGTTTAAATGCGAAACAGGAAAGAACATGAAGTAAGCGTTGAGTTAGATGGATCATTTTTGAGTTTTCTTTGTTTGCTTCCTGATCGTTTTTTTTTTTGAATATTTGGGATTCATTTTGCACTCTACACCCTGTGTGAGTGTGTAACAGGTCATAAACATGCAGGAATGTTCCTACTGGACGATTTCCAGGAAGCTAAAACCATCTGGTTAGCTCTCTGAGGTTTCCCTCCTTCATGCATACTGAATGTAATGTATGTGAGTGTATGTGCATTAAGAATAGACTTTGAGATTGCAATATTTCCCTTGGACTCAACACTTACACTCCTTTTTCCTCCTTCTTTTGCTACTCCTGATATTCATTCAACTCAAATCTTTCATGTTGCTTTATAATCATTTATTTGCATCGGACCAACTCAGAAGGACAAATGAACTTTGCCTCATCGCTCCTTTCTCCGCACTCACTCACTCTGCAAATGCAGCATTACTCTTTCCTTTGGATGAAATATTCTCATCAGACCGTAGACCACTTCTTCTCTCGTTTCCTCTCCCTGATTCCTTCCACTCCCTCTTTTGTCACTTTCGTCTCCTCTGCTTAACTTTCCCCCAGACTCCCCCTAACAATAGCAAACGCTTTAAGGTGTTTTCCATCGCCTCAGTAACCGTGTGTATGTATTTTACCATGATTGTACCCATCTGCGATACTGAAGACTATTAAATCAGCTCCTTGTGTAATTAACTGGTTGACATAACAATGTACATGCATGGGAAATCAAAGATATACATATATGTGCTTTAAAGAGACTCCTTATGTAATCTGACAACAAGGAAAATGTTGCCAGATTACATAGTGAGCATCAAAGACAAGCTCACATCTGAAGTTATTGTTGGGTTAAAACATTCTCATTATACACACTGACTTTCAATCATCCCCAAAATGTCTATGTTTTTTTTTAAGATATCGACAGGTTTCTCACAACTTTCCTCTGTGTGCTTGTCTGAAATCCTAACCAAAGCTACATGGAACTTTTTTTTGCAAATCAGACTGAATTAATTGCAATTGTGACATGTATAGAGTTTCTTAAAAAGTTCATGTTGTGCATCTACACATGTTTAATTAAACACTTACACACTTTCATACACTCTGTGCTTAAGGGAGCACTGGTTACTTGTTGAACTCAATGGCTTGGCCCAGTGCAGGCAGAGTGCCATTTGAAGCTGTTTTAATATGTAAAATACTTCCTTCACTCTGCCTCTGAAATCACTTTCAACAACTGCTGCACAACCAACTGGAGGAAGCAGAATCACCGGAGAGTTCACTTTACCCACAGTGCTGTAAACACCACATATAAGAGTGCAGTGAAACCACATCCGCACACAAAGCTACACACTCATTGACACTTTGGGATGAGTTCAACTAAAAGCAAGAATTAGCACAAACTGTGATGAAAGTGGAAACACATACATACAGTTTGCGCTGTCAACTGTTTCGAACACAACCTGCTTTCTTTCTGAGCCTCGAAGTCGGACCACACACAAACATATGTGCTGCACACACGCACACACACCCACACACACACACACAGTTTTAAATGCATCAGCACGTATCATAACATACACTAACGTAAACACACACACTAACATACACTTTGACAGCACTTTGAACTTATTAAACTTCTCTAAACCTCTAAAATACCCTCATGTACTGACCTCAAACACACTCATATAAGTTATATTTATATGTAACATATGCAAAACACAGAGAGAAGCCTTCATTAAAACTTAAAGCTGTAAAAAAAAATAGTTTATACTGCAACTTGCATTTGAGATGAAAACACACATACATAAACACACAATCTCCTGAAGTCCAAAGTCTCCAAAATAAAATGTTCTCTCATTAGCATGCAGATGTGATGATATTCAGGGAGCCACATTAAGGTAATATTAATATTACATTTGGAGCCCTGTATAAATATTTGATCAGAAATGCTCCGGGGCCTCATGTATGTTTACTGCACATAGTTCACCCAACATTAACATCAAGGATTTCCTTTGAAACATTTGGAATTCAGTATTTCCTTTGAAAATACAGGAAGTGTTGGGTTTGGTTTATTAAGCCCATAAAAGCTATAAAACATGAAAAAAAAACCATCAAGAACTTATTACTTTGGTCTTACCCTCTGTTGGCTCTGAAAAGCGTTCGGTTGAAGGAGGACGTTTGGGAGAAATAAAAAAAGGAAATACCAATTGTGGAGAATCTCACAGGAATTAAAGCAAATTTGTGAGGTAACAAAGGAGACAAGACAGCCTGGAGTGCGTAAACTAGTCGTAAAAATACTAAAATACTACAACAGACTGAGTGAAATGTCTTTGTATTAATAGCATAGGGCACTGTGAAAATGAATCACTTTTACAGCATGTATGTATACGTCAAAACTAGCCATTCAGATAGAAAGAAAGTGTTTACATTACAGTGAGAGTGTAAGTGTGTGACTGAGAGCTGGAGCTGATCTTGGCTCTGTCTTTGTTTAACATGGAGAACAACAGAGTTTCACAATGAAACACTGACACTCTGTTCTTTCACCTCATATTCGTCTTTTGATCTGAACTCTAGATTACATTTGAGCTGAGTCAACAACAGACTAAGAGTACTTTTATAGAGAACGTAACACTAAATACAGTAATAAGGCCAAATACTGAAGCATTTCTATAATCATGACCTCAAAATCAGTTCCTTCTTGTGTTTAAAAAAGACAAAATAATGTGCATGGGTCTGTTAAAGTGTGTATGTGTGCGTCTGCTTGTTGTCACCCATTAGCTGACAAATCCCTGCACCACCTCAAAGCTCAGAGTCATACGGGACCTCAAAGGGATACCACACACACACCTCACACACACAAAGAAACACACACACACACTAAGAAACAATGCAAGTCCCTGTAAGGGAGAGAAACCTTGATGTCAGACATTTGGCAGTGGGTGAGGAGTTCCTTAGCTCAAGATCAAAACAACCAGAAAAAAAAAAAGGAATCGCAAAAAAAAAAAAAAGGGACAGAAAAAGAAAAATGAGTCTTCTGTAGAACACCAGACGGCAATTGCAATGCTAACTTTTCCTTTAGTTTTCCCCCCTCTAGAGTTGAATCACAAAACACCAGAACAACAGGGATGAAAAAGCTGACGAGGCGGCAGGAGAACAGTGGCTCTGGATGTTGAAAAAGAACTGAAGAGCAAAAAGAGAGCTGGCACCGCGGGGACCTTTACAACAGAGCAGAGAGCACAAAACACTCAGACCACCAGATTTATACAGGAAACAGACGGACTAAGTGGTTATTATGTGGTGGATTGCAATGTGTAGGTCAGAGATATTTCAATATGACTGTGATATGTCTGTTATAAAAGAGCGATTACAGACTTTGCATGCTGAAATCTCATTACAGAGTCACCTCCTGGGTGCAGATAGGAATATTTAAAGCGTGATGAAGACGGTTGATGTTTTTTTTTTAAAGTCATGGATATGTATAATGCGCTGTTATGCCAGATTTGAAAAAGTAATATTCCCTTTACTAAGCCCATGAGGTAGTTAGCTCAGCCGCTTAGCTTAGCATAAATAGTGGAAACAGATGGAAACAGCTAGCACGGTTCTGTCCAAGGGTTAAAAGTCAACCTTCCCAACACCTGTAGAGCAAACTGACTGACATCTCTTTTTTTTTTAATCCATCCAAAAGTGAAGTATTATTACCACAAGTGCACTTTTATGGATGGTTATTAGCGGCACTATTTCTTGGCTAAAAGCAGCGACTTGCTGGAGTCTCCACAAATTGCCTGGAAACCTCATGGTGATGACAACGGGACATAACATATAAGTAAGTAGGCAGTAGAGGTGCTTGTTACTGTAGCTGACCTGGACTGAATCCGGCGAGCTGTTCCCCCTTGTTTACATTGTTTAAAGCGTTTAAGTTAGGCTAAGCTAACTGTCCTCAAAAATCCAGCGTGACATGTTCCTTTTAACGCTCTACAAGAAAGAAAATCTGTCGTTTTCCAAAAGGTTTAACTGCAACTTTAAACCCACTGAACAGCCTAACAATGCAACTGTAACATTTCTAAAAAAAAAACTAAAAATAGGAGCTTAGTAGTCTAAGTCGAAGGCTCACAAAGTATCTCAACGGCTCAACAAAAGTAGTACCAGAAACAAACTGTGGAGTGATTTCACAAAGCCTAAAATGGGAGGACTTTTAATTTAAGTACCCAGCTGTCCAAGTTCATAGAGTCAAAAAAATACTAAAATATTGTTCTTGAGTGCTAATTTCATGACGAGACCAGCGAGGTGGTTGCAAGAAAGAAACAGTGATGCTTCCTCTTCAAAGAAGGCAGCAATGTGTCACAGAAGGAGAGCAGAGTGAAAGTCAAGGTGTCTCCTTCATAGACAGATGGACAGACACGACAGGAATGATTAAAAACAGAGTTTATGACAGAGCGGCGGAGATAAGAGAGCGCCTCGACGCAAGGACGAGAAGTGTGACAACGAAGGAGAGCGTGATGAGAGAGAGGAAGAAGAAAAAAAGGCATGCGGTACTAACCTTGAGGCAAGACTGGGTGGAGCAGGAGACAGTGTTGCATTGTAAAGATAAAAGGAAGGGAAGGGGAGACAGAGAAGGTGAGAGAGTTGAGTGCTAGGTTAGCAAGCTTGATCACGATTCAAAGGAGGAAGAGATGAGAGACAGAACTGACAGAAAGAAGGAGAGATAGTGTGACACGATTAACCACAGAGGAACAAGCAGGGAGACAGGCAATGCTGGCAAACACACAGGCACATAGACAGGTTTTCTGCAAGCTTTATAGTACAGTATTAGGGTTATGAGAGGCCCGCTCACCTCATATGACCTCTCTGGGAACACACACCAAGAAAACGGCACACACGAACCATAGAGAAGGAGCATTTAGCCAATCAAAGCATGAGCTGCGAGCGTGCTCATGATGAATGATTTCTTCTTCAATGGTTTTTGATACAGCAGACGGCTTCCTTCGCCTTCCCGCTGGGGGACACTTGAGAAGCACGCGTCTCGTTGGATTTGTGGAGAAGTCTCAACCAGAAAGGCCTACAGCATGTTATCATTAAGATATGATATTTGAAGAACATTTTTGCTTCCTATATTGGTTGACCTCAAAAGTTTTCCACACAATCATTCCTCGTATGTTTGGTTGAATTGGCAGAGCCCCGAACTCCAGAGTAAGCTTATGCCTGGGAACGCACGCTAATGACGCCTTGCCAGAGACAAATTGTCCATTACAGAACAATATAACACGCAATAAACTTCTCTAATTTCCCATTACTCAGGTTTATACTCTTCATCTCTCTGAGCTGCCTTCATTTCTCTCTCTCTTTTTCTTCCCTTTACATTATTTTTCTGGCAGTTTCATTTTTAGTTTCCCTCTCCCCACTGTGTTGTCTTTTCTTCTTTCCTCTCTCTCTGTCTCCATCAGATGTTTAGTTTCTGTCTTTTTTGTTTTTCATCCTTCCACCACCTTCCTTTCCCTTTTCCTTTTCCTCTCTCTCTCTCTCTCTCTCTCTCTCTCTCTCTGTTTTCCACTCTTCTGTCCAAATCCTTTATTTTGGCCATCATGGTAGATTTTCAGCTCCATTTCCCCTCAGTGTGAAGTCACCAAGTCTGCTCCAATTACAATCCTAGTTACAGAAATAAATAACCTACTGACGTTAAAGCTCCATTTAAACCAGAGGGGGAAGCGAGGGTTGATTTTTAACCTTGTGTAACCTACACATGATCTTTTTATCCGGAATGTTCCCCTTGCTAACTTGTAGCCCAGGGTTAGCCTTGTTGCACAGCGAAGCGATGGCTTCAGGCTAATTAACCCTCCTCTAATACACCTGTTAGCTCGAGGCTAAGTGTTGTAATTCTCAGCAGGTTGAGGAAGCTCTGGGATAAAGCCAGTATTAGCACACTTTATGTTACAGGGTCAATGCCTGCAGCTCATTGTTGCTGATTATATTGTATTACCCTGACACAGGGCCTGTGAGTACAACATTCCCAACCAACATTTATAATATCTTACTGTTTCAAATCCTGACTTCACTGTTCACCTAACACTTTCCCAGCAATTCATCCGATCATACCTTAGCAAACGTTACTTGCAACATCAGGAGTGTCCGATTTTAGCTCCATCAACATGTTGAATGTTACTTGGCTTGGCTTGGGAGGGGATTTGTTAGTTTTCCCAAAACTAAGAAGAACAAGACCCAACGTGCATTAAAGGCCTTAATCAGAGTATTTGTCTGTTCCAACATGAGCTACAACAGTTAACATGTCCGACTCAAGAGCTTACTGTCCACAGTACATGATGAGAGGTAAAGTAATGTTTTTAATAGGCAGTCTAATCAGGCAAATGTTCATCCTTGCAGTTGATGCCTAAGACTCTAGTTTTGAATTATTGGAAATATTATAACATCAACCCTACAAAGTTTAACAAGGAGTTCATGGAGCTAAGATTTTATTAGCGGTCAATCTTAAAAACATCTGTCAGCAACTGTTGTCATTTCATCCTGTAAAACTTGTAGTTAACATGTTCAGATGAGAAGCCTATTATTTAAAATAGGAATGAACAGCCTTAAAGCCATCAACGGTTAATAACGGGGAGGGGGGGGCTCATTTTCTTAAAGCCTGATTCTAGTGTCAACGTGTTTTCATTATGTCGACGTTTAACCACAACTTGAAGTAAGCATGATATCCCTGTCATTATAAATCTATCAGCTAAATAGAACCACAAAATATGAAATGATCAAAAGTATCATACATCAGAGCACCCTCTTATGTAACCTTCACCAACCACTCTCTTTACAGTAATGACTGCGGGGAAAAGTTACATTTCACCATAAAAATCTGCTTCATCTTAATTTTGCTGTTACAGGATACTGTGGTCCGACAAACAGTAGTAAGTCGAAGTTTATTAGCTTTCCAGTTTCCTAAGATTGGCCAGCAAAGTTTAGATAAACATTACTTGCTTTACTGTATTATTATAATCTTCGAGGAAAAGGAAATATCAACCAAATATGTGAGACAGAAGAACTTATCTGACATTTCAAATGGTTATTTAGTGGCATTATAATGTATCGACAAAGCTGCTCCGCTGTAAAGTCACAGTTTAAGCCCACCAGTCAGCAGGTGCTAAATTATTAATTGTCATCTATTTCTACTGGCCAGACAGAGACACAGTGTGGAAACAGGGATTCTCCCTAAAATCATTAACACCCATTAGTCTTAGAGTCAAACAAGCAAGAACACAGACATGAAGAGAGGGGGGGGGGGTAGTTTTGATTGGGAGTGGGTCGAGATTGTGTCCAAAGCAGTAAATGGAGGAAAAGATTAAAGAGACAGAAAGAGGGAAGATGTAAACAGTAAGCAGAAGATGGTTCAAAAAGAAACATTAAGAGAAACAAGGAAACCAGTTTTTACGAGCATAGTCAGCTCTGATCTGTCTAAGATGAACTTTAACTCTTACAACTCTAACATAACACACAGACTCCTTTTACTTCAAATGCTCTACTCTTAAACATTGTTTGTTTTGTTCATGTCAAGATGTCTGACCCTGCTTGACTTACTGAAACCTCCTGAAGCTTCAGAAATACTCATCAACAACAAACAGGTAGACAGGTAAAACAGAGAGGCAGGCAGCATGCAGGCAGGCAAACAGACAAATATCCAGATATAGACAAAATATTAAGATTAAGACAAGTTATTGAGATATGGAGTACTTAAGAGAGAGGTTAGAGGGTAGAAAAGTAGTTAGGAACACACAAATCATTTCTATTAGTGTAAAAAAAACAAGAAGTGAACTGTCCAGATTCCTAATAAAAAAAAAAGTGTTAAAGTCTGCTAGTCAGGCATCCTCGGCTGAAAGTAAAACAAAAGTGAAGCGTGAAAACAGAGCCACCAAATGAAAGAGTTGCATCATTGACAGGAGCGGAGAGTCAAAGTCTCGCACAGCGGAGACTCTGGTACCATACTGCGTCCTCTTTTTACAAACTTTAGGGAGAAGTAAAGCCTGGTTTAAACCTCTGTGTCGAATCTACACCATAGTGGACTACATCATTGTGATCACTCCAAACTTGTGCATTGGTGGTGTCTGGGTAGCTCTGCAATTCTTTGCCTGCAAACGCTAGCTAGCAGTCCAATTTCTGTGCTCGTTATATCGCCATTTTTAGACTCGTAAATAGGCTTCTCTGTAGGTACAGGGCTACATGCACCTGTGACGCAGAAGTATAAATCAGGCATAAGGCTGTTCACACTGTAGTGAAAGAGAGGGGAGAAAAATGTCTTTTTTTATTTTGAAAAGTTCTTCAAAAGCTGTAAGAGACAGGCTCATCATGTAACTAATGGTGCAACTCTTTGATTGTGATTATTAGTGAACATACTCAGCTTGGTTCCATGTGGAAAAGGCTTGTGAAAATAAGAAATCTCTTGAAACATCACTATTGTTTTTTTTTTAAATTATTTTAATGTGATACACTGCAGGGGGGGGGAAATGTTTGTGTTTTCTTGAAAATGTCAAAAGACAGAACATTTCCAAGAATCCAAAGTGAGGTATTCAAATTCTTTATTTGATTTGGATTCAAAGATTATCCATTTAATTTTAGATACAACAAAAGGCAATTAAATCTCCAATCCAAGAGGTCAGAAGCAGTAAACTTTTGGTGATGTTGCTCAGACATGCTGAGATATTTGTTCAGGCTTACATCTTTGTGTGTGCTGTCAGACAACATTTTAGTCTCAATGGAAGAACCTCTGACTCAACTTGTGGCTCTGCGGTTGGTTGAAGTTCATTTCCGAATGACAAAAACTGATCCACTTTGGGTAAAATGGTGCGTCAAATTCATTCTGAAGCATTTGTTTCCACATTACTTTCCCACATGGGACTGCTTGCTTTCAAAGTGCTCTAATATCCCGTCCTCGGACAAGCAGAGTGTGTTTTTGTCGTGCATCTGACCGACAGGGCCACCAGCCACTCACGTGCCCAGGTAGTCCCACACCAGCCCCCCCATTGGCTGCTGAGAGGCAGCAGCGGGAGGGGCTTGTTTTCGCGACTGCTGAGAACGCCACAGATGGGAAGCAGAGGGGCTTCTGGGGTGTGATGGGCGCACGCACACACAAACAGCCAAAGAAGCGCTCACGCAAATGTAGAATCACATGATTGCATACACACATGTAAACGAGGTACAAAGGGGAAAGGAAAGATGAGCGTAACAGAGGAAATAAGGTCGAAATGGGAGGAGAAAAGGGGGAGAAAGAAAGGGGAGAAAGGGATGAGAAAAAGGGACTAAAGGATTAGTTCTGGAGGGAAGACAAGCATAGACTCCAACAGTTTGTAGGTAGAAAATGAAAGGAAAATGAGCTACACAGTGGTGAATAATCAAAATGTAAACCTCAATTCAGACAGTCTTATTCACTTTCTACTGATTTAGGTAAGAAAATGAAATAGGACATGTATATACATATGTTGGAGAAATAATTTTTTGAAATAATTGAACCCATCAACCCTCTGTTTCATGAATCTGTTCATTTGCGCCCTCACCTCTCTAACTCATGGATCTTTTTCTCCTTGTCGTTCTTTTCGTTCTCCATCTCCCTCAGGATATCCAGGAGTCGCTCCACCTCGGACTGAGCCTTCCCAGCATCCTCTTTGTGCCGGGTGACTTCCTGCTCCAGACTGGAGATCTGTTCAGAGAGTTCAGTGGTGGCCTGGGAATCAGTCGCTGCATTCTGAGCCTGGAGCAGAAAATTAATTATAATAAATAAACAGAGGGTTTCGCTTTCAGAAAAAGGTGACCAGCATATAATGCTCAAAATAAGTATGTGCCAATAACAACATGGATAGGTGGAAGGGAGAATTGTTCTTTGGTTGAATAAATGACAGCAAAGCATTTCAGCCTGTTCTCCAGCACAGCCATGCTTTGTCAGAACTGTAACAGCTGTATGTTTCCCTGTGCTGTTTGTCCCCTCTCCCCTTCTGTTGTCTCCATATCACTTTACTGTAAGTTGACAAATATAGATTAGTGTGTAAAAATGCAAAAAATGAGCATTTAGCAATATTAGAATTGCATTAATTTTAGGGGTAGTAGAAAACCATGCTAACTTATAAATGCTGCTGTAATAAAGGTATGTTTTTAATAAGTCTTGGCATTATCTTCTGGCCCATTGACCGCACCTTGGTTTTGATTTTCTTTCCATTTACACCGAACCAAATGCACATAATGATGATTTATTTGAAGATTAGCACCGGCATAAGGAAATGAATAAAAAAATAACTTAAATTAAGTAGCAGTAATTCTTTCTGTTGCTCTGCAAAGCTACATCAAATAAACACCAAAAACAAGAAAGACGGATTAAGTTAAAAATAAAAAAAAAGTCATAATGATCTTAGAGGTTAGAACAGCTGTGTGTGTTTCCCAGAAGTAAATGTTGCTCTTGGGATGGATTGACTTTGTGCGCATGTGTGTGTGTGCACGCCTTGTTGGTCACACAACATATAACCCTATTAGTTTTGGAAGAGCACAAGAGTTTTTACAGGTCTTTATGTGGAGAGGAAATGTTTGGGTGTCTCACAATATTATAAGAAGATCCGGGCGGAGGAAAGAAAGACAGAGAGAGAAAGACAAATAAAGGACAGAAAAAACATCACACCAAAGTCACATGCACAACGTCAAATCATTCTCACACACACAGAAACACAATGTCAAGTCTTTTCTTCTTTTTTTTTTACATCCATGGTAACATAAAGAGACTCAGAAATAAACTCTGATGAGAGAAACACCAGAGAACCACTGACACCTTCATACACATTTACATTCACACAGTCACACAGTGTCACACACACACACACACACACACACACGTTCAGGGAGTGGCGGTGGTGCTCCTGTCTTTTCCACTCTGTGAAAATGACTTTAAGGCTGTCAGCAGGCCGTCACACACGCACCGTTTTATGGGCTGCTGTGTGGGAGAGAATATGTGATACACACACACACACACACACACACACACACACACACACACACACACACACACACACACACACACACACACACACACACACACACACACACACACACACACACACACACACACACACACACACACACACACACACACACAGTAATCTGTCTTGAAAAACAGTTAAGGGAACACGGGGAAGAAGAGACAGATGTTAAAATCTTCAGTGTAAATCCTTGGTGTGAGTTAGTTAGTTTAAGCGATGGTTATATATATATTACTAACACTGTCATTGATACTATGTCCAAATGTGATCATTTAAGAAGGCTTCTGTGCCTTTTTTGCAGAGACAGAGCAGTGTGTAGAGTAGAGTTGGAAATCAGGGAAGGGGGAAAGTTGGATTCGAACCCAGGCCGCCCATTTTGAGGACAAGAGTCTCTTTAAATGAGGCACGCAAACTAGCCAGCTCGGCGTTTAATGATGTATTGATTTTTTTGTGTTCACTCTATTTTAGAGCAAATTTTACATTTGTCTCATTTTCCCTGTATTAGGTTTTAAATCTATTTGTACTCAAAGCTCAGGGAGCGGTTTTTGTTGTTTTTACTCAGTGACAATAAAGACTTTGAATCTTGAATCTGACCTTCTTGAGTTGGTTCTCCAGTTTGATGCACTCCTCTCTCTTCTGCTCCAGGCTGATCTCCAGACTCTTCAGCCTGTTGTCCTTCTTCAGAGTGGAGGATGCCAGAGAGGACGCCTTCTCCTTCAGATCCAGCACTGAAGTCTGAAAGGGAAAAAAAACAAAGATTAAAAAGACAAAGAGTGAAAAGGAAGGATGCCAGCAGCAGAGATTGTGAGTGTGAGACACTGAAGAGCTTCATGAAAGTAGTTCGAAATGTCCTGCTCATCAACAGTAAAGTGTATTGAATACTTGTTCCAAACTATTATAACAGGTAAAAAATTCAGAGATGTTGACATGTTTTCTACCTGTTCTCTCCTACATAATTCCACTGACTTTAGTTGAAACAATGAGAACATGCACAGGAAACGTTCAATCTGGAAATCTAGGTGTAATTTGTGCTTTGGTTTAAAAGTGCAGTTAGGGTATTCATTTTGACACTCTCCTTTTGTGATCACGTTAATGTCCCTCTATCTGGTCCCTGTGTCCAGGATTTTTTTTTTAAATCAATTGTAGTGATTGCTTAGAAAAACAAAACCAAAGTTGAAAAACTTGAGTTATCCTTTAAGGCTGACTCTGTCCCATCTTCTGCCAAACTTTTTTCCCATGACTTGTCTCTTCTCTCACTCTTCCAGCTCAATCCCTCCATCCGTGAAGTCTCTCTCTCTCTCTCTCCATCTTTTCTGGTCTTTTCCTCGTTTGGTAGGGCCCGTGAAACCAGAGGGAGAGACACTCAGACGTGTAATTTCACCCATGACTGACAATACCAACTTCAGACTATGGATCCTCATGTTTGACTGGGCTTTGGTCACAAAACCTTGCTGCTTACTCTGATTATATATAGAGACTTATAAATATATTTTACCGATGTCAGACAAACCCCACATCTGTGTTTAGCAGTGTAGAAAGGAATGCGTGTTTTCTCCCCGAGCGTTCCCATGTATTACTCAAATTATAGAAAGGGACTGTGACAGGTTTTATGACCCCACACTCGCTAAAGTTAGCTGAAGAGTCTATGTCAAGAAGAGCATGAAGGACTTTTTACTACAACAACATACGCATTTTGTTTGAGGGTGTATTTGATAAAAAGCTATAAAGCTCTGGCTGGTAGGCAGTTAGCTTAGCTTAAGTTAGCAAAAAGACTACAGCAGATGAAAACAACTCGCCTTGCATTATTCCAAATCAGCCCGTTAGCATTTCTAAAGTTTACTGTTCAGTATGCATCTAGTTTGTTTGAAATGTTTGTGAAATGACAAGTAGAAATGTCAATGTGTGGTTTTATTTGGATGACAAGCTTTCATGGAGTAGCATCCTTCATTTAACAATCGGCAAGGCAGTTAACTGAGAGGAATATCACAAAATGTCAAGATGTTCCTTTCAAATTGTTAAATGAAATGTGGTTGAAAAGATCAAGATTAACTTTATACATTTGGCTCTACTCCCATGCTGCAGCCATAAAAAGACAACATTTAGCCTTTAATATCGAACTAAAAGAAGCTTTTGTTTTGAAAAATGTAATCTTCAGTGTAGATTGTAAAACACACTAATGGGTTTCCTAATGTCTGTTTTCGATTTGGTCCTGAGGCTGACAGAGATAGTTGGAGAATTTCCCAAATCACTACGTCCTAAACTATGTTAAGATGAACACAAAGTAAAAAAAAACTAGAGCATATATTTCTTTTCAAGCTCTGATATGTGTCACAGTATTACCAGTGGATGTCTGATCTGATGTAAATGCATCTGTAATGTTGCTGTTGTGGCTACAGCCAGATTAAAGTCATATAATAGACACTGAAATGTAAAGCAGTTCAGCATTTCAAAATGTATAGAGTCGCCTAATTTGCTTTATTATCAGGCTCTCAAAACATTATTTAGTTATTTGGTACATTTCATGATATTGTTGTTGACATTTTGCCCGTCCAAGAGGTTTCTACAGCAGGAACCATCTACTCCATCTGTGTGTGGGACACGTCTATTAAAAAAGACTTTCAAACACTGTTTAATTTTGTGTATACCTCCTGAGGGATGTTTTGTTAAAAAAAATTATTTTCCTGATTTCATTAATTGTAACTTTTCTGATGTGCTGTCAAAGCACTTCAGGATAACTTTAAAATGCTTCGTCATCCTGTCTCTATTCTCCGTGCCTCTGCTGTTTTGTTCGTTATGAATGTCAAAGCATAACAAATGAATCTTCAGTGTCTGTTTTCATTGGTTTAGAAGCTTCTTGTTGTCAAGGAAATGTGACTGTGTAACGCTGTTGTCCTTCAGAGCAAGGTCTGCAGTGGAGTGACAGATCAATCAAGAGAACAGAGAGAGAAAGAGAGAGAGAGAGACAGAGAGTGTGTGTGTGTTTTTCTGACTTATAGCTCCGATATGGATGAGTGTGTTCGTCTGGTGTTTCTACCTCACGGTCAGAGAGGTCAGCCTGCAGCTGCGAGACTTTCTCCCTCAACTCCTTCAGCTCCTTCTTGCTGATCTCCACCTCCTCCCCCTTCTCTCTGTCCTCCCTCTCCCGCTGCTCCTTCAACCGCTCGATGATTCGCTCCTGGGCATCGAGAAGAGGGAGGAAGAATAAAAGAGAGAAAGAATGGAGAAAGAAAGAAAGAAGGAGAAGAAGAAAAGTGTCAATGTTCCAACAGTAATTCACAGTAACTCAATATCAAGTTTCTGTACTAATAACAGCCGCAGTCAACTTTATGTACATGGCAGCTTTGGCAGGATCTAACAGCCAACAGTGATTTGAGACATGTTATATATTATCTGGCACAACATGTAATATTCACATCTACTAAAACACTATAGATGCTCTCCAGCTATAGAACAACACAGAGGCCAGTTCAAGCAAGAGCATGAAAGTTCAAACACAAAGAGAGAGAAAAGCCCGGAAGAGGATATCGACTGGTGTGTGTGTGTGTGTGTGTGTGTGTGTGTGTGTGTGTGTGTGTGTGTGTGTGTGTAATTCTGTACGTGAAAAAGGACTGCATGAAACACAGTGCATGCAATTAATCCAACCACAGGGTGCGATCATTTTCGGGTAACATTTTTTTCTACTCTTCTTTGAAATAAACCAACGTGGCTGTGATGGAGTAACACAAAAAATGAAGAATGGGATGGAAAAATAGAAAGGAAGAAAGTGAAAAAGAAAACATATCCAAAGTCACAAAAACAATGGAACAAAAAAAAAAATTAAAAAAAAAAAAGCCAAGGTCGTCTGACTGAAGATCGAGTCGTCAGCCACCTTCACCTGCCAACTCTAACACAGCCGTCTGACACCCTGAATATTAGTCATTGGACAATTAATAGCTGTTTCCTGTGTGTGTGCTAAGGAGATTGAGTGGGTAACACAATCGCACTTAATGGTATAAAAATATTCTCATCAAACACTTTGGAGCCGGTCGGCTAGCGTAGGTGTCATTGGTGTGTTTCCAGGAGTCGGGATCAAGTCCTCAACAGATCATAGGACAGCCGGTTGATGTTCCACTCCAAAGATCAAGTGGCACAGGACTGTTTTATGTCAATGATACCTGAATGTTTAAAGCCAGACTCTTGACAGTGTGGTTTTTGGTTCTAGTCCCATTAGTCTGAGTCATGTGACTACACTGGATGGTTCCTAAACTATGAACACAGACTGTGATTTAATGAAACAGCCGATGTGATTATTGGTTCATTTCCATCAATCCAGACTCATTTGGTCATGGTGTGGGTGGTCGGAGGTTTTATTCATAGCATATTTTATTAATGTAACCCGGCTCTGAAGCTGACCTGAGGTTGACCATCTGAGTGTGTGTGTGTGTGTGTGTGTGTGTGTGTGTGTGTGTACCTTCTCAGCCAGGGCCTCCTCCAGTGTTCCCAGTGCCGTGTCTGTGTTGGAGGTGTCCGTCTGTAAAGACTTGACTCTGTCTTTCAGGCCGCCTAGCTGCTTCTCTTTGTCCCTCAGCTGATCCTGAAGGTTCTCTATCTGCAGACAAAAAGGAAAGAAAACTCATCAACAGTGTTGTTTTTGATGCAGTATTATTCCTTAATCATTAAGTATTCATTATGCATTTTCGGCTGTCAAACTTGACAAATAAAGCACTTGGACAGCAGCTAGTGAATAGCCGAGAGGATAAAGAATGTCTGCAGACGGATAGCAAATATAACAGGAATTCTTCCACAAATAATCAGATGAAAATCTAATTAGTTCTGATAACAAGAATAAGTGAATTAGGGTTATCACGAAACCAGAATTTTGAATACATTTTAAATTTGATAAAATACCATGTTGACACCTGTTCCAATTACACACAAACAAAATAACACCCTAGGGTACCAAAGGTGATTTTTATTTCAGTGAATGGCTTGGGGGAAAAATGTCCCAGGTTGGATTCGAACCCAAGCTGTCCACCTGAAGGAATATAGCCTCCGTACATGGAGCGCGCACACTAACCACTATGCTACCGATGTCTCCAAATGTCTTGTTTTAAATAACCAACTTGAACACAGTGCTGGTACAGAAAAACATACCAACTCATTAAATAAAATCTATCAGCAACAAATACAATAAGAAGGCAGATTTTCCCCCAAAGATCGCATAAAGACTGATTTCAAATTATTTTATAATGTGGGTTTGAATATGAGTCCTTAAAATCTAACTACTGTGAAAACAGTCCGAAAAAAAACGTCTTCAATCTCTGTTTCTACTCTTTGTTTTCATCAGCGATGCTTGCTCTCTTCACTATGACATTAGACCCTTTTGGTCTTTTGGTTGTAGCAGCGTATGTCGGCTTCCCCGCGACTGAGGGGCAAAATGTAAAACCCTTCAGTGCAAGTCAAACAGCAAACACACAGCTAGACGAGCATTTAAAGAGTCCTGACATGGATGTCTCTGCCCACCGTGGGAACAATTTTTCACACAATGATCTGATTTTATCCTGAGATTTTGAACAAAATGAAAAGGCTGAGGGGCCTTTAACCCTTACTCCAAACACACACACTGTCTTCACCTCCCTCTCTTTCTTCATCTCGCCCTGCCTCCTTATTATTCCTCTCACTGTGATTTGGTAGCAGATTAATTTTCTGTTAAAACACAAAATCAGCAGAAATAACTCAACGACTCACTCTTTCCCTGAACCCATGGTGTGTGTGTGTGTGTGTGTATCTGAGTGTGTAGAATGTACTGTGTGTGTGTGTGTGTGTGTGTGTGTGTGTGTGTGTGTGTGTGTGTGTGTGTGAAGAGATCACAGACACAGATAAGGAGCTATGTCAACTTTGCAATATTCATTAAAAGATGTATGGAACAAAAGGTTGAATGGCAGAGAAATAACAAATTGAGGATTAAAAAACGTCCAGAGATGGAGAGCTTATGCAACTTGGTGGTAAGAGGGAATTTGGATGGTAACAATCACACATTTTTTAGCCTCCAATTTTCCTAATTCTCTTTGTCAGAAAGAAAGGAAATCAAACATTTGACAGCCTCTCACAAATTTAAAAAAAAAAAAAAAAGATTGGTATGTAACCTCTGACTCCCCCAGCAGGTGAGACACACACATTTTACAGTACTGCAAAGAATGTGAGTATGTGTGTGTGCATACAGTAAAGCATTCCCATCGCCTCATTAATCAAGTGTTCACCTGACAGCTTGACTGACATCTCCTCCAAACACACACAAACACACACAAAGACACACACACTTGACATTGAGAGGCAGTGAGGCTCTTTGATCCCGTCTGCACTTCCTGAAACTGACAACTGGCACGCGCTCACACACACACACACACACACACACACAGACACACACACAGACACACACACACACACACGGTATTATTTACTAAACCCTCGCACACACTCGCAGCTTGTCTTGTCCCATTTTAGACCCAGAAATCGCACGTCATGTGATAATGAGCTTGAATACGTTAACAAAACAATAACCAGTTGGTGCGTCTCTTCATTCTCATTGTCATCTTCGGCACATAATACAGAAAAGTACGTTAAAGAACAAAGAGCTGAGGATGATGGGAGATCAGACGAATAGCTACACGATAAATTCTGTGCACTCATGGTAATTTTCTTCATGGCTTACATATGATGACAGGTTAAAAACATGAAGTAGAAGAAGAGGAAGAAGAAAGAGGAGAAGAAGATGAAGAAAACACAAAGAAGGATTTTTTTTTTTGAATGCAAAAACAAGAAAAGAGGAAATCAAAAGTGCAGATGAGATAAACGAAGAGTCAGCAGCGTCTCCCTCTCAGACGCCGGACTGTATTCTATTTGAAGGCGGCAGAGGTCATAATTTATTGAACAGGAGGAACTCATTAGTATGCATCTGATTTCAAACACACTCTGTCTCTCTCCTCCCCCTCCCTGTCCTGCTTTATGTCTGTCTGCTTGATTGTCTCTATCAATTATCGGCTGGCACTCTCCATTTTTTTTTTAAGCAAGTGACAACAGAAGGGACGAGGAGGAAGGAGGAAGGAGGTCACATATTAAATGGCAAGAGATGCAAAACGCTCTTATCTGAGGAAATCAGCTATTTAATGGATGCTTTTTTTTTTAACCCTTCATTTTTTTTAAGAAGTTGCCGTTTCAAAGATTGACTAAATCCTTCCTTCCAAAAAGTTGTGTGTGCTACACAGCAAAGACACAGGGTCATTGCTGCTCATGGTTCTAACTCACAACATTGCAGAGGAGACACAAAAACACATGAAAATAACTTAACCTGTAACTCATGGCTGACTGTCTTCTTGTCTGTGTTTGCTTCTCTCTGCATAATTGTCTGTTCGTCAGCAACTAAACTATCCACAGCCCTACATCTCCATCTAGTGGTTATTGCAATACATGACAACATTTTATTCTTATAAAGTCCTGATTTCAATTTAAAAAGTATTTCACCATGTTTGAATACATCTTTTTATCTGAATGAAAGCCATTTTAGCCTTTTGTGATCTACTGGCATTCAGCCTGTTTAAATCATTTTTCACTATATTGCTGTGCTCAGAATCTCAAATATCAAAGGAGAAATATGGCCATGGAATAGAAATAGAATAGAATTTTAATTCAATCAAAACATGAAGAACTTATAGGAAGCATCAATGCTAAACAGATGACAGCCATGATACATGCAGTATTAGGAAATCCTCCTTAGATGAAATCACACACTAGACCATCAACAACTACTTAAGAACAAATTGTGTACTATAATTCAGTATATTTCCTCTTTGTGTGTTGACATTCAGCCTGATTAGGTACCAAAATAAGTACATGGTGTTTCCGTACCTTCTTCTGCAGCACGTTAACTTTGCGCTCCTTGACGTCCAGCATGTCTTTGAGGTCTGTGATCTCTCCCTGCTGAGTGCTTTTCTCCTCTGTCAGCTCTGATATCTGTGTTGTCTTTTTAGAGAGGAGAGATTCTTTTTCCTCTAAGCGCAGACGCAGCGCATCCACCTGTGCGGAACACATTAAAAAATGGAAAATGAAAACATTTTTCTCTGATAGGTGATAGTACCCTAACATAAAGAACAAGTACCAGTAGCTGTACTACCTCAGTCTGGAGGATGGCAGCTCTCTGTTCCTTTGCAGTGAGCGACTCTTTGAGAACGTCCACATGCTGTTTACTGTCAGAGAACTGATTGTTCAGAGTGTCCAGTTTGGTCCTGAAAGCAAGCAGCTCGCTGTCCTTACGGCTCAGATCCTGCTTTGCCTGGTCCATCTGAGAAACACACACACACACACGCAACATAGAGGTGGGAGATCCATTTAAAACCGTGTACTAAAGAGGATTACACTCTTAATTTCATTTAAATGATTGAAAAACTACAACAAGCTTCAAAGTGAGCACTTGTACTAGGTGTTAGTTATTTAGGAGTAACGCTAGAATACAAAATGTGGCCTTCTAGTGGGATATGTGTCAGGATCTAAGAAAAAGATAGCTCTGTCTCTAATTTCTTACCTGGAAAACAAATAATAGTTAGACACTCATCAAAGTTATTGCAAACAAAACCACACAAGAAAAAGAGTCGTTTAAAAACCCGGAGCAAACTTATCCAAGCCACTACTTGAAGAAAAACTTCATGCAAATAGAAAGAGAAGGAGGTTAGATATATGTATACAGAAGCACAGCACAGCTGGATCCTCAGCTGGAAGTCTGTATGCCGGTTCAGACTGCTTGGAACAACTAAAGCTTTCAACAGTCATTGGCCATGGACAGAAGGAGACGTCTTAACTCAGTGGTACTGTACAAAAAAGAGTATTTATATTAAACTGAGAAATCGCATTCAAAGTCCTTCAGTTCTGCTTAGGTCCAATTTACTCTTACTGTGACTTAAGACACAATTTTTTTTTTATTGTCTTTTTTTGAGTAATTCATGTTATTGGGTTGATGAATGTGGGATAATTAGCCATATTTGACTGACAATATGATACACCTACCATGAGATGAAAATAACTTAAAGACAGGGAGAATTAACAAATTGTGACTTGAGGATAGATTTCACAATTTGAAATATTATAGTAGTTTATAATATTGGCTATTGAGAGTTCAAGTTGTTTTCTGCTGTTTGAAGGAAAAATACTTCAACACTATAAAACTACAAAGACTCTACTTGGTTTCTATTCATGCAGCAGCCTTTAGCCGACCTGTAAGACAGAGAGAGTGTGAGGTCAAGAAAGAAGACAGAAAGAAAGCCCAAACAGACACAGAGGTGTGTCCCTTACTGCGGACACCTCCTCCTGAAGCTCATTGGCTCGCTGCTTTAGCTCCTCCTTCTCTGATTGGCTTTGAGTTAGCTCTTCCTTCAGCTGCTCAACCTGGCAGGAGAGGAATGCGTAACCATGACCACAACAAACCAGCCGATACAGTCACTGACCACTCTGACAACTAAGATCTAACATGCAGAAACGATGCATAAAAAAACACCCGCTGTACATCCTAACCTCCCTCTACAGTACCATCATGATATGATTGTGTGGCAGTGTGTAGATTTGTAGAGCCTAAGGGTCATGTCATTGATACAAACACAAGACATTTCAGTGAGCATTTTTTTCTTTGACAGAATGATTTTCTCAAAATTAAAACTTAATTAGCTTTATTGACATTGATTTTAGATCCTAATTCATTGGGATCAAATCTCTACTCGAATACAGACTAAGTTCTTAAAGAAACCTTAATAACTGCAGAGAATGGCCCTGCCACATTGTAAGTATTATTACCTGTTAAGTAACTTGAGAAAGCTGCTATTTTGATTGAAGCAAAAACACCTCTTACAGTTTCTCATCTTTGGTGTGGATGTTGGCATATTTCCCCCTGGTTATGTATTTAAATTTTCTATCAAGATTTGGTTTAATTGTATTGTACTGGTACTTATTCATTTTGGCTTACCAGGTACATGCTCTTTGTTTACTGTCAATGTTCTACAAAATAAAATTAAGATTCAAACAATATGTTCTTCTGAATTTCAGGATATTGATTCAGTAGTTTTGGTTAGACGTAGCTCCTCTCTGCTTTTTCTATGGCTTCTGTACTCACTTGTTGCACCTAACTAGCTAACCCTGACCTTAAATACATTATGAGGCTGCAAACACTATGATTACGTCTGCTAATAAAAAAAAAAGCTTGTAAATAACTTTGGGTATTACTATACACATCGAGAAATTCATGCTAATAATAATAATTTAATCTAAGTTAATGTACTTTCAGAAAAGGTGTAAATGACTTCCTGCAACACGTGAAAAAAGTGGCACAAAAACAAACACATTCAGTTCATACAAGCAAACAACCCAAACAAATTCAATTTCCAAAATGTCTTGAAATGCTGCTTTGTTCTAAAAAAAAAAAAAAAAAAAAACAGGACTCCATTGGTAACCCTCTTTGTTTTTGTCATTAAAGCTGTATCTGTCAAGAGGTATGAAATCTTTCTGAGGAAGTAAAGAATCTGAAATGTCTAAAAAAAACAGGGAAGAGGTGTGACTGTATGAATGTGTCACCTTGTTCTTCATGAACTTGGAGTGGGATCTGTACACCTCCATCTGTTTGATCTCCTCCTCCCTCTCCTCGCTGCTCAGAGCTCCGTTGGACTTGAGCATGTTCACCTCATCCTCCAGCTCTCTCAGGCCGCGCTCCATCGAGCTGATCTTCGCGTCCTGGCAGAACATCAACATGGCCGGGTTAAGATAAAAAAGACCAGGTGTGATGTACTGTGCCATGGCTACAAATATTTATACAAAAACAAAGTATCCTCTCGGCATTTCTGACAGATAAGTTAAGCTAGACAGACGAATATGAAATACATGATGTTCAAGGCAGTCAAGAATCTACAGTTTTGACCTTCAGTATTAGATTTATAAGAACAATTGCGTGTTGGGAACACAACATTAAGTATTTGACCACAGTAACTGTACTGAAAGACACGTCTACATTATTAATTATTCAACGATATAAGGTATAGTTTGAAATTTGTCAGATCGATCCAGCTTGAACTCTTATTGTTTTTACCTTAAGACAAAGTATCTCCACCAGAGGGCGCAATTTGAGTTATTTTGTGAGCTTTGATTATTATTTTCTTCTTAAGTGGGAGGCATTGTAATGTTTGTTTGTGGACAAACTTTAGTTTGAAGCTTGAGAGCAGTGCAGAGATTAATCATCGACACAAACAGCCCATAAATGCAACTAAATATGCAATGCAGCATCCTATGAATGCATTCATGCAGGTCCCTCTGGGTAATAAAGTTGTCTAAGTCTAGGTAAGGTAAAGTGAGGGGAGGAAAGATTTTGGGAAAGAAAAAAGGCTTTATGATTTAAAAAATAAGCACACAGGCAGAGTAGAAGAACAGCTAATAGTGCAACAAGGAGACTTGCTATCATTCACCCCTTTGTGTGTTCAATATCAAGTGCATTGGAGAAACTTGACTCGATTTTTGTTGGGCTGGCACACCCCAACCCCAAAGGTACACCCCAAAGAAACAACCATCTGATAACCAGGAAGGAAAGCTTGTTCTCTTTTTTTTAAAGTGTGATTGATTGCTATTCATTTGTAAACTTTAATGTGAGGAAACTTATGAGCACTCTCCTGAGAACAAACTTTGAATGAAGGCAATGCATTTCACAAAAATTCTAAAGCTAGTTTATCATTTTTGCAAGCCGACGTGCAAACGTGAATTTATCTGCATCATTTGTTGTTAACACAGTTTATTTCTCCAACACAATAAAGTGCAAATAACAGTGTGATTTTAGTTTCTGTTTTTCAAAGACAAATGAATACACAGATATTAAATTAAAGAACAAAATATGCTCAATCGAAGCTAAAGCAAAGACACACATTGACATGAAATAATCAACAACATTTTTACCTTCATTTCAATGACTGTCTGCAGAGCCTTGGTCTTTGTTGATTCTGGAGCTGCTTCGTATCTCCTGTGCAGCTCCTGAGGGACAAAGACACCACGATGGTCAGCAGGAAGTCGAGAGAGAGAGACAGGGGGATGGAGCAAAGGAGGAGAAGGTCGTGAGCCGGGACTGGAGGCTACAGCGAGTGAAGGGGAGGGATGGAGGGAGGGCTGAACAGCGGGTGTAGGCCGAGGAGCGGGAGCAGGGAAGGACGGAGAGTGTTGGATTGAGGGATGGACCGAGGCGGCTATGACAAATGTAGGATGGTGAGGAGGACAGGAGGAGGGCAGGATGATGGGGTGGATGGAGTGACGGTAGGAACGTGGGGACGGTGTGGGGAAGGAGGGAGAAGGACTCAGCGGGGGACGGCGAGGCGGTAGATGAGGAGGAGAGGGTTGGAAAGGGGGAGACACATGGAAATGAGGCGGGATAGGGATGGAGGGAGACACAGGAAAAGAGGGAGAGATGGGGATGGAAGGGGAGACAGGAATGAGGTGTTTCCCTCTCGCGGATGAGCTGCTCATTTTCAGCCTTCTTGGGTCGATCCGTCCATCCCACATCCTTTAAACTGTGAGGAAAGCTAAGCTGACACTGTTTAACCCCTTAAAAAGTTAATAAAAAATCTGGATTTCGAAGACTAAAATAAAAATGTACAGTTATTATATTCAAGGACTGAAGCTTGTTTGTTCAAATTACATCTAAATCAGTCTGGAATCTAAAAAAAATTAATTGAAAGCCAAATTTTCGATTCAAATCAAAGAAATCCAGTCTTATGGCTTCAAATTATAAGAAATACATGCTGCTAATGTCATCCCTTCTGGATCCATGGAGGAAATTCCTGTTAGGAAATTCCAGAAAGCAATAAAGAAAAAAAATCCTAAAAGACTCAAAATATTCCAATAAAATTCCATAAAGACAATATTTAAGCTCCCTTATTGACTTCACGGCATGCAGAGGAATCCCAGCAAAGAGGCTGTAGATACAACATCGTAACTCACAAGTGAAATGAGAGCATAAAGGGGGACATAAAGAAGGGGGAGTGTAGTACTTATACATGTAAAAGCACAATAAGGGTAAAAAGAAAATAAGAAGAAAGAGGAGGAGAGAGGGAGGAGACTGAAAGCAGAGGGCAGTGAACGCATCACTGCTTCTCTTTGGGGTGAGACACACTCCCACAAAGACTGTTAATGCATGAGCCAGGGCGGACAAGAACACACACATGAGAAGAGAAAGGGATAGTCGGGTGTCACGGCTTAGGGCACTACTGTGAGTGCTGTGAATGGTCATGGACACACACACATATACACACAAAAACTGATAAATACACTCTCAGATATTTGTTGAAGATGTCTTAGTTGTTATTTACATCTTGGGGAGTGTCACAGGTTGACTTTATACATTTATTTCATAGAAACTGAAACCTACTTTTCTGTTCTTCACAACAACATACAGAACAATCTATTGCTATTCCTTCGATATTCTTCAAATATTTATTCGAGACCTGTTTTGTATTTTTTTAATTAAGTATTTAGTAGCTTGAATTAAAAAATGCTTCCTTACAGCAGGTTGCTTACTGCAGCAACTCTTCTCCATCCTCATAAGGGACACGATTACACAATCTTAAAAATATCTGTCTTTTTTGTAAGTGGAAGCTGCAGGGACTGGTCTATTAATTAATGAAAATGTATTTTTATTTATTTTTTATTTTTTTTAAGAGAGGAGTCAGCAATGGAAGAGGAAGTCTGTGAACAAATGCACAACTTTCATTATTTACTGCCGTGCCTTTCCCTTTAACTTGAAGCTATCTTTGCAAAAACTGTGCAATTGGATTTGAGCTCTACAGCTGGGAGGTCTGCAGATCTGTATCTCATAATGATGTTTTAAAACTGCTTTTTAACTCTGTTTCTCAGTTGTTCGCTGCCTGTGAAACATTAAATGACGCATCACTGTCGTGTGTGTGTGTGTGTGTGTGTGTGTGTGTGTGTGTCGTTTTTTTTCTCCCTCACAGCTGTGGCCCACGGTGCATTTGGAGCTGATTATAAAAGGTTAATTTGAGATTCATTGTTTTGTTGGTTTTTTTAAAGGACCTGAACAAGACAACACAAAGGTTTATTTTCTCAGAAATATAATGTTAAACTGAGTTCTTCCTATAAAATCGGAAGATAAATAAATCTTCTTTGATTGAATGTTTTAGTTTTTGTAAGCAGGAACAGACTCTGAAAACAAATTCTACATTCTCATTCATTCACTGCTTATTTCACTGTAATGGGACTCATTCAGTATTTTTCCATAACATGTTTGATCTTTTTAAACAGTCCTAAATTCACAAAAATGAAATAAACTAGTACTGAGAAGTATTTCAGTCATCAAAATGTTGTCAGTGTTTTGAAAATCAAAATCAAGGTTTTTTTGGTTTTTTTTTACAGTAATATATCAAGCGGTGAAAATGTCCATCATTTAAATACTCATTAACAACATTTCACCACTAGAGGGAGCTGTTGTATCAAAGAACAAACGTCATGAACGAAAGGTTAAAACAGCTGAGTGTGGCGTTTAAAGACACAATATGTGCAGGAGAGAGCGGGCAGAAAGGATAAAGGATACCATCCTGTGTATCTGTGTGTGTATATTGATCCTTCTGTGTTACATTTAAACTGAATTATGAGCCTAGAGATGAAGCAGACAACGGCCGTGCCTGGAAATGACATGGTTTGATTTGCACACTCTCACATCTGGCTGTAACCATACACACACACACACACCCACACACATGGGAATGCTTGAATGCACACACACACACACACACACACACACACACACACACACACACCTCTCTGAGTTGTAGCATCTCCTTGTCTTTTTGCTCCAACAAGCCCTCCAGTTGGTGGATCGTCATTTCGGCGTCCGCAAGCCGCCTCGTTCGTTCGTGGTCTTCCTCGGTCGCCCGTGAGGACAGACCTTTGCTCTGCAACATTTCCAGCAACTTCTTTATAGATTCATCTCTGTATGAGAAAAAGAGAGTTAAAGCGACTTTACGCGGCAACAAGTACAGTAAGAGCTCTCTGAATTGAAATATAAAAATCACCTGGCATTAAGCGTGTGTTTCTGTGTATCTATCCTCAGCTCCATTTCCTCCAAAGTCTTCCTCAGGAGGAAGAGCTCCTTGACCTGTCGCTCGTATTCGCCATGCAGACGCAGGAAGTTGTCCTCCGTCATGTCCTGAGGAGCGATTGGCTGGCTTCCGAAGAGACCAGACTCCGAGTAATCTGACTGGAAGAGCTGGTTGAGATCCCGCTGGATGCGGAGCTCATCTTGTAAAGCCTGGATGGTGCACTGAAGATGCTGTCGAGGAGAAAGAGAAGTTCTTATGGGCATGTGTTGTGAAGCGCCTTCATTGATCAGAAACAAGAATTGGAACTTAATTGCAGCCCCCTTTACTAAAGTAAGATAAAATCAGGCTACGGTGCATTAGTTTTCACAGAGGTTCTGGGGTTGGATCTGCATCTGTGAGTACTGCAATGGTTAATGCTTGATTTTAAACTGAGGAACAAAGTGATCCGTCACACTGGATCATTATCAGTATTAGGAAAATAGCTGAGATGTCGCAAACAGTATCAGGAAAGTTGGTGCTTCCCTAAAGGAGATGAAGTGTGTGAGCCGTAGAGTCCTCTTCTCACTTAAAATGACTGATGGTGATTGATTTGTACCTGGATCAATGCGCATAATAGATGATCTTTAGCAATGTGTGAGTGAGTGACTGGCTGACTAAGACAGCATCCAGTAGGTGTTTGTCATCTTGAGCAAGTGAGCGTGTTATAAAGTGGTGTTGGCAGGCAGGTGTGTTCCTTTAGCTTCATTGCTGAGGACAACATAACATGTGCCCCCCCCCCGACTCAGACATAAGAGGAGTTTAAACTGTGTATGTGTGTGTGTGTGTGTGTGTGTGTGTTGTCACTATGATGTCCTGGGTTCTTGAAAATGCGTCACACACACAACCAGAACAACAGCCAGGTCATCGCTACGAGTCACAGCAAATTCACAGACACAAATAACACAGGTAGCAAAGAGGTGAGCGAGTGAGAGCATGCAAACCAGAGGTTGAAAAAGAGAAGAGACAAAAGAAATAAAAAAAAGAAATATACACGTGTTATTTTGTCCTTGCAGCTTTAGTCATAAATGCAGATGAGGACAATAAAAGAGAAACAAAAGAGAGAGAGGCAACAAGTCAAATATATTAAATTGGCGGAAAGACACAAAAGAACAGAAACAAGGAAAGAACGGGATGATGGGATAACATCAAGGCAGCTGTCTCTCATGATAAGTCTGCTTTATGTTTAAGAACAGCCAGTGTAGCTTCTGCTGTGTCATGTCCACAGCTTTCATTTCTACATTTCTAGAGAGACAGCTGCAGAAAAACCTGCCAAGAAACCTGTCACTGACATTTTTAGTTTGATACCTCTCTGTTGCTGGTGTTTCCATGTGTGCATTTTTGTGTGTGTAAGTCTGCTGACTCATAAAATAGCTCCTAACACACACACACACACACACAAATAATGGAGGCTGACTGACATTTATAGGACTTTCCTGAAGAAGAAGAAGCATCCTCTTCCCCTCTTAAATATTCCCTTTGTGGTTGAATCCCTTTGTCTCCATTCCAACAGTGATTCCTCTCTCAGACATGCGAACACAATCCACCCTTATGAAGAGACCGGGCAAGAATCCACACAAAATCTCTATTGCTTCGCATTAGGCTTTATTCATTATGCAAAGATGAATTATGAGTGAACGTTAATAAAACTAATTACAAATATTTTTCTGAGTTGTTGTTTGTTTTTTTTAACAGAAATGAAATTGGTTTGCTTTCTACATTGAGCCTTTAAAGCTTTTCTCAAACTCATTCATCAAATTTTCTTTATCTCTGGATGTTTTTAGTTGCTTTAGAGACCAAAAGAAGGACTAAAGGATGATAAATTGTGAAACACATTAACAGTTTCAATGTGTTTTTGTGTTAGTATTCAGATACTTGTTTATAGAATGAGTTTAAAATACAAGGGATCTGCAAATCAAACCCTGTTATTTTATGAAGGCTTGAAATATCTCTGTGTCTTTTCACTTATTCATCAGGATTGCCTTTAAATGTCCATGCATTTTTTTCTTTAAGTTCCTTTCTTTGGGCTTTTTTATTACCTTTACTAAATAGGACAGTTTGCAACTAAGTTTGCCTTTTGCCAAAACAATGAATCAATTTATATCAAAAGATAATCAGTGGGTTAATTGAATGTACATATTATGCACAATGAAAAATGCAAATGTATATGTGTCACAGGTATAGAAAGACAAACAGAAACACGCAGATCTTTCTCCTGATACAAACATGTTTGGTATACTGTGTGTTATTGAAGAAATGTACACGCATGCCAACATCAAAACATCCTGTAATCAGTCAGGAAACATGAACACACACTTACGTACATTAAGCATCCTAAGGTACGTCAGGGAAATGACACAAGCTAACACAAAGCTTCAGTAATGTTGCTTAAACAAACTAAACGTGCACCTACATACACAAAGACACACAGACAGACAGACAGACACATTATGCGACTTCAAAGAGTTACATATAAAGAATTCAACATCACTCTAGCACATATGGGTCTGCACCAACACTCCCTGCAACTCACACACACACGGACACACACACACACACACACACACTCACACAGCTGGAATGTAGAGCAGAGAAATGCCAGACCACAAGAGAGTGGGAAGGGAAGAGGGAGTGAATTTAAAAAAGGAAAAAACAGGAGGAAACAAAAACAGAGAGGCAGATAAGAAGAAGGCAGCGAGGAAAGTTTGAGAACACAGCTCATCTTTTGTGCTAAGATGAAAAAAGGAATGAAGGAGAGAGAGAGAGAGAGGGAGAGAGAGAGAGGGTTCAATAATTTTTTCTTCAAAGTTTCTGCTGCGTCATCTTTGTCTGCTTCACCTTTGACTCAGTGTAAATTTGTTGTTGGTGGGCGGGAGAGGCCTGAGAGGGAGGGTCACAACTAAAATCAGAAGAATGCAAACACACGTACACTCTTATTCTACAGACTGCATACAAGTCATGCGACTTCACTTAAAATATATAGCAAAATAAATTCTAATCTTCGATTCGTCATTACTTGTATTAACACTATATTAGTGTATTTTCACGTTCATATGTTAACTATGAAGGGAAGAGAAACAGATGTAAACAGTTGTAAAGCTGAGATAAACAAGATGACGAATCAAAATGACGAATGTTTCCTTCAGATGTGTCAGAGAAAAGCAAATCAATTCATCAAGCTGATGTTAACAAGTGCGAGATGGGAAATTATCTTTGCCTCGGGCGGCAGTCAACTCATCAAAACTTGTCGATTTCACTGATACTGTCCTTGTGATTAATTTGCAGGAACATTTTGAAAATGTATTCCTGATTGCATAAGCGGAACGATGTTAGGGACGAACAGATTCATGCATTTATATGTTCTGCCATCTGTGTACTGGATGATTACAAACAGACTACTTGATGCTCTCTGCTGTGATTAGAGAAAAAAAAAAAAGGACTGTGACTTTAAATGGACTCAAAACTTTTTGCTCTGTCTGTCTCTACCAACGAGCTGTTAATAAGAGTCTTCATTAGCAACCTTCTCAGTGTTACCGTCTAAGTGAGTGACATGCCTGCTGCACACAAGATGATGATTTTTCAGTGATATTTAATTATGTTCTTGTCTCGGTCTCGTCCTGTCTTGATCTTGACCTGGTCTCGATCCCAAAATATCTTGGTCTTGTCTCAGTCTCGGAGCACTCTGGTCTCTGGTATGTATTGGTCTCGTTTAGCTTGGTCTGGATTACAACACTATTCCTTGGTTCCTGTTCTTTAATCACTCTTTATGTTTAATGAGATCAGTTTTTCATCACAAATGTGGGACCTTGCAATAACTTTATCACACTGATTTAGACAGAAATTTATAGCACTTGATGGATTCAAATTCTCACAAATCACTGCAGGAACACAGGATACACAACTAAATCTGTGACTTGAATAGAAAATATAACGTTGTCTTTGAAAGAAGAAAAATACAAATATTAAACTTCTATCAAAGCATGAATTGATTCTAAAAATCCATGACATAAGAGCATTTGTCTAATAACAAATGTAATCCTTGTCTAATGAGCAAACTTCATAATTCCTCTCCGTATTATTGGCCAAAGATGAAAAGAAAGGAAAAAAAGAAGAGGAAATCCGTTATGAATATGGTGACAATTTCTCCATCCGCTCATCATCTACTCTCCTCAGGCCATGGCTCATCTGTCCTTTAATATTAACCATCTCTCTGTTATTATTCTTCCGTCTCATCCCTCGCTTATTCTGCGCTTGCGGGTTGAGTCACCCCCACCCCCACCCCCCACCCTATAAAAAAACCCACTGTCACAGAAAACACATACACTTGAATTGTCCAACACATGAGCACGCCACACACACACACACACAACAAGCTGGCTTTAATGTAAGTGGCGGTGATCATCGTTGTAAATGTGTGTGTTCGTGTGTGTGTGTGTTGTGTGTGTGAAATGGCCGCGAGGAGTTTGAAAGCATCGCCCACTCAGACATCAGACAACAAGCAGATTACCACACTCAGATCTTATTTCTCTGAGGATGAAGAAAACAATAAAGACGAGGAAATACAATAAAAAAGAAACAAGAAATCCCCATGTTTTCCCAACGGGCTGATGGAAGAAAATAACATTATTATTTGTGTATGGAAATAAATAGATGAGAATAAAGGAGGAAGGGGAAAGAGATTAAATGAAGGGGAGAATGAACACAGAATAGCCAACAGGGGAGAGAAATGTTGACCTTAATCAGTCAGTTTGAGGAGCGACATCAAGGTCAGCAGGGGGTTTAAAGGAGAAGAAACAGTTTGAAGAGAAATTAACATAATGCATAAAGATTTTTGAAACACAAGGATAGATGGACAAATTGAGCAGTGTGTGGATAGATGTGAGAGAGGCAGAGAAGAAGAAATAGCAGCAGAAGAAGAAGGAGGAGGAGGAGGTGGAGTGACTGTGCTGTAATTCTGTTCATTCCTCACTAACTCTTCCCAAACCCACTCCTTATAAGGACAGACATGGCTACCACTGGCCTCCACACACACACACACACACACACACACACAAAAAGAGAAAGTGAGACGGAGAGAGAGAGAACTACCAAATTCACAGCCTTGTGGAGAAAGAGGGAACACTGACTCTCTCTTTCCTTTCACTTTCTCTATTTCTTTCCGCTGTAAAATGAACACCCTGCTTTTGTAAGCAGC